CCGCGAGACCGAGCCCGAGACCCGGCTTCGGCCCCGAACCCGGGCGGGGGGTGGGGGGAACGCGCGCCGCTGCCCTCTTCTCCCGCCCCGGCGCGTTCTGCACCCCCCCCAGCAGATCTCCGCGCACGCGCGCCGCGCGGCCCCACTCACCCGCTCCTGGTGAGCGGCTCCCCCTCCCCCCACCCCGCGCGGCACCTCAGCGGCGCGAGGCGGTGGCAGCGGCAGCGCGAGACCCGGCCCCGCAGCGGTGGCGGCGGCGGCGCCCCCCCACCACCACCTCCCCGGCGCGCGCACCAAACACCACCGCCACCTGCGCGAGGCCCAGCGGGCACAAAGTCTGCATTCGCACTTTCGCCACGGGCGCTGCTGGTGGACCCACGGGGCCGGGGATAGCGGCCTCGTCTCGGCCGGCGCCCTAGATGGCTCGGGATTTGCGGCCCAGGGAGCCTGGAGATTGGCCGCATCCCCCGGAGAGTGGGCTTCGCCACAACGATCCAGATGCTGCGACCCGGGGTGCTTGATGAATCGGCGGCGACGAACGCTGCGACTAGTCCCTGAGGAAAAGAGGCGGGGCGAAGGGGAGGAGGCCAGCCAGTACTGGGGAAGCTTCAGTGCCGCGTTCGGTAGACGCAGATTCGCCGGGCGGGCGGGGCGAATCGGTGGACAGGATGCGCGCCGCTTTGCTCTTCTTCCCTGTCCCTTCCTTGCACGGCCAAAGGTCTAAGAGGCTGCAGATTCGCCACTGTTCTCAGCCTCAGCCGTAGCCTCCCCTTCATCCGTCTTGGTGGAGTCAAGAAAATAACGGCCGGTTAGCCAAGCCCTGCTGGCAGAGTCGACAACTTTTTCTGGATTTTTCTTACTGGCCCAAGTGAGAGAATTGCTCGCTTCTGACCCTGGGGAAAATGCCTCCAGCCCAGAACGCCTCTCAGAGTCCGAAGAGAATTTTCAGCCGACCACAGAGGGACCCGAGGAATTCTGAGGACTCCGTCTGGCGAATCTGCGGATTCTGCTGTGGGCGGAGCCGAGGCGGGGGGCGTGGCCAGGGCGTGCGCAGCCCGAGGCGCGGGGGCGCCTCCGGGAGGGCCCACCAGGACCCACCCGGGTGGGAGGGGCGGCCGGGAGGTGGAAAAACACAACGGCCAGCGGTGACTCAGGCGGTTTACCCGGCCTCGCACATAAATGCCGGTAGCCGTTCCTTCCCGTTATCCCACTTGGGCCTCTGGCTGCTTAGGATGCCCATTTGCCAGATGGGGGAGACTGAGGCCTGTAGAAGGTGCCCTGCTTTGCCGTACTCAACCCGCCATTAGTGGTTAAATCCAGGGACTGCCTCAAGGTTTTCTGATGAGCCTAGTGGGTTTAAGTGTCCTTAAATGGGCCTTGTAATAAGTAATAAACGAGGTCCTAAAGGAACGCGACTGGACTGGTGAGTCCTCCTTACGTCATGGTCCCAGTGCCCGCTTCTTCGGCTATGGCACCCTAAGCTCACGGGATCCCTCCGCACGAGGGCAGCACTGGCCTAGGCCTACACCTGGAACTCGGGCTGAGGTCGCCTTAAGGCTGGGCATCCTTTTTATCCTGGGTGGACGCAGGCACTCTCAGGAGGCCCCTCTTCCTGAGCTGAGGATGCCCCAGACTCCATATATGTGTACATTAGGCCCTCACTATATGACCTTGGGCAAATCATTGACCTCTCTGTCAGAGTCTTCCTCTAAACTTGGCTGTCAATTTGTAGACATCCGAACAGTGCAGAAAAGACCCTTAGAGCCGGGTTTATGCAGATTCACCATTTTAAGTAATAGCAAAGGTGAAACGAGACGTATCCAAGGTCTCACACCACAAGATAAAATATTAGGACTCTAAAATTTTGAGGGAAATAAGGCTGAAAAAATTTATGTGGAGGCATAGGTGTTGAGATCAGAGCACTGGTTCTTTTTCTCAAAGAGAGATAGATTCCCATGTGAGGGGTAAAGATAGTCCAAGTTCAGTCCAGGTGCGTTGGCTCACGCCTGTAATTCCAGTACGTTGGGAGGCCGAGGTTACTTGAGGTCAGGAGTTCGAAACCAGCTTGGCCAACAGGGCGAAACCCTGTCTCTACTAAAAATACAAAAATTAGCCGGGTGCAGTGGTGGGTGCCTGTAGTCCCAGCTACTCAGGAAGCAGAGGCAGGCGAATCGCTTGAACCCAGGAGGCAGAGGTTACAGTGAGCCAAGATCGAGCCATTGCCCTCCAGCCTGGGCGACAGATCAAGACTCCATCTCAAAAGAAAAAAACCAAAAAGATAGTCCAAGTTCAGGTTAATGGACTAGCTGTGTGGTTTGGGCAAGATCTTCAGCCTTGTTGGGCCTGTTTCCTTATCTCTGAAAAGAAAATGATAAAAACTTATTGCTTGAGGTATTGTGGGAGTTAAATAAGATAACCTGTGAAGGGCCCCTAGTATGTGGTAGTTGCTGGAGAAAGCAATTTGAGGCCAGGTGCAGTGGCTCACACTTGTAATCTCAGCACTTTCAGAGGCCAAGGGGACAGTATTACTGAGCCCAGGAATTCAAGACCAGCCTGGACAACATAGTGAGACTCAGGCCGGGCGCGGTGGCTCACGCCTGTAATCGCAGCACTTTGGGAGGCTGAGGTGGGCGGAGGTCAAGAGATCGAGACCATCCTGGCCAACATGGTAAAACCCTGTCTCTACTAAAAATACAAAAAAATTAGCTGGGCGTGGTGGTGCGCGCCTGTAGTCCCAGCTATTCAGGAGGCTGAGGCAGAAGAATTGCCTGAACCCGGGAGGCAGAGGCTGCAGTGAGCCAAGGTCATGCCACTGCACTCCAGCCTGGCGCCTGGTGACGGAGTGAGACTCTGTCTCAAAAAAAAAAAAAACATAATGAGACCCTCCTCTTTACAAAAAAAGATACTAGCTGGGTGTGGTGGCATGTGCCTCTGGTACCAGCTATTTGGGAGGCTGAGGCGGGAGGCTCATGAGCCTGGGAGGTCAAGGCTGCAGTGAGCCAAGATTGCACAACTGCACTCCAGCCTGGGCCAAAGAGTGAGACTGTGTCTCAAAAAGAAAAACTTGGCTAGGTGCGGTGGCTCACACCTATAATCCCAGCACTTTGGGAGGCCGAGGCAGGTGGATCACAAGATCAAGAGATTGAGACCATCCTGGTCAACATGGTGAAACCCCTACTAAAAATACAAAAACTAGCTGGGCATGGTGGCGCGTGCCTGTAGTCCCAGCTACTTGGGAGGCTGAGGCAGGAGAATTGCTTGAACCCAGGAGGTGGAGGTTGCAGTGAGCCGAGATCGCGCCATTGCACTCCAGCCTGGGTAACAAGAGCGAAACTCCATCTCAAAAAAAAAAAGAAAGAAAAACTTAAATTAAGTACTCAGTGGAGGGATGCGTACAGTGGCTCATGCCTGTAATCTCAGCACTTTAGGAGGCCAAGGTGTGTGGATCACCTGAGATCAGGAGTTTGAGAGAGACCAGCCTGGCCAACATGATGAAACCACGTGTCTACTAAAAATCTAAAAATATGAAAATTAGCTGGGTGTGGTGGCACACACCTGTAATCCCAGCTACTTGGGAGGCTGAGGCAGGAGAATTGCTTGAATCCAGGAGACAGAGGTTGCAGTGAGCCAAGATCACATCACTGCAGTCCAGCCTGGGTGACAGAGCGAGACTCTCTCTTAAAAAAAAAAGAAAGAAAAAAGAAAATAAATACTCAGTGGAAGAGATAGAGACCATGAACTCAGGGACAAGAGTTCAAAGCCTGTAGCCTTGGAATAATTCTCCCCATTCAGAAGCTGTTGGCCCCTGTTATCATCTGGCCCCGTTAGTAGGGTCACACCTGGAACCCACTCCCCTCTCAGGTCTTGCCCACCCAAACTTGCCACCACCCAGCTCTTAGGAACAAGTCAAGTTATCCTAAGAAGTCCTGCCCTGCATTCCGTTCACAGCAACAGGGACATCTGTGAAACACGATTTATTATACAAAACAAGGTGCATCCAATCACTGTCAGAAGAGCTCTGTATTCCAAGGGCTAAGGTCTGGACCTTCTCCCTTAAAACCTCCTCACCCAACTCTTGCTAAGGAGTCAGGCCTGGCTCACAGGCTATCAGTCTCTAAAGACCCCAGCCCTGGCCCAGGAAAGGGAGAACAAGTTTGGTGCATAGCATGGGGCTAGGGCTGTGGGTCAGGCACCATTCCTCCTGTGAGTGGCCTCAGGTCACCACAGTGGGGGAAGCGGGGGAGCTTGAACCTCCAAAGACAGGGAGGCTCATCGTAGGAAAAGCTAGACCAATGCCTGGGATAGAAATACCCAGATTCCTCTGCAACAACTAAAGCAAGAATGTTGAATGTGGAACGCATGAAAATCTAGGGATGGAGAAAATCTTCCCCAAAAATGCCAACGATAAAATAGATTCTACAAAAATAAAGCAAGGAATCCCAGCACTTTGGGAGCCTGAGGCAGGAGGTTCACTTGAGCCCAGGAATTTGAGACCAGCCTGGGGACATGGCAAAACCCCATCTCTACAGAAAAAAAGAAAAAAAAGAAAAAAGAAATTAGTCAGGTGTGGCATTGTGTGTCTATAGTACCAGCTTCTTGCTACCTGGGAGGCTGGGATGGGAGGATCTCTTGAGTCTGGAAGGTTGAGGCTACAGTTAGCCGTGACTGTGTCACTGTACTCCAGCCTGGGCAACAGAGGGAGACTGTCTTAAAAAAAAAGCCGGGCGCGGTGGCTCAAGCCTGTAATCCCAGCACTTTGGGAGGCCGAGGCGGGTGGATCACGAGGTCAAGAGATCGAGACCATCCTGGTCAACATGGTGAAACCCCGTCTCTACTAAAAATACAAAAAATTAGCTGGGCATGGTGGTGCGTGCCTGTAATCCCAGCTACTCAGGAGGCTGAGGCAGGAGAATTGCCTAAACCCAGGAGGCGGAGGTTGCGGTGAGCCGAGATCGCGCCACTGCACTCCAGCCTGGGTAACAAGAGCGAAACTCTGTCTCAAAAAAAAAAAAAAAAAAAAAAATTAAAGCATGGGCTGGCTGCCTTCTGACCTTCACATCCTGTATAGGAATGGAAATGGTGGCTGAGGTCACAACCGAAGGTCCCACAAGGTCTCCCTGCCTCTCCCCTATCTACTGCATGACCCTTCAACTGAGGCCAGCCCAGGCACAGAGTAGCTTGTAAAACCCAAGGGACAGACTGATGGGGAAAATCCCTGGGAATGTGGGAGCTGTCCCAAGGCCCAAAGGACCCTGCAGGCAGGAATCTGACCTCTACCTGAGAGTGGCCACTGGAAGTGGCTCCAGCCGGGGGATGGGAGGAATGAGGTCTGTAGGCCCCTGGGGCCTCTAGCGGACCCGGCAGAGAGGCAGTGCTTGCTGCGGTGACTAACACCAGCCTCACACAGCCTGCAGCTCCCCCTGCAGGCGATTCAGCTCTTCCAGCTCCTGCTTGTAGCGGTCGGTCTTGTGTGCCACTAAGGAGCGGTAGAAATGCAGGGCAAAGGCCACAAACACAAGCCCCACAGGTACCATGATGGCTGTGGAAGCCATGGCTGCTTGCCAGCCTGGCCCATGCCCCCCCCCACCACCGCAGGCTTGCCGGGGCGGGCAGACTGATTCAGCCTGGGATGGTGCTACGGATGCAGAGGATGATGGGAGATTGGAAGCTGGACTAAGGGAGGTGGCCACTGGTGCCAGAGTCACGGGCACCCGGGATGTGGGTACCATGGGGGTCGGTGTGTCCAAGGGAGCCCCAATGGGCACAAACTTGACCCAACCAACCAGGACAACCTCAGCGAGGAAGAGAAAGGTGCCCAGGGCAGTGGAGAAACCCCAGGCCAGCTCCACGTAGCGGTGCAGTCTCTGATGTGGTGACTGATGGACAGAGTTGAGGTTGTGGATGTTGCTCACGGCTTCAATGTGGGGCAGCAGACATGTAGAGACCATGAGTGCAAAGAGGTGCACAGCTACCAGCACGGTGGTGCAGGCACTGAAGGCCACCAGCAGGCCTGGCGGGTACTGGTGGTCGCTCTCCAGCTGCACCTCCACCATGGCCACCTGCGGGGACAAGAGGGGATGGACTGAGTGCCCATAACCTCCTCAACTGTAAAGGTTTTCCCCGCCTATTGGGTTACATCACTGATACATATCCCTAGGACCTAGAATTGTGCCTAGCAGAATGCAGAGACATTCAGTCTCTGTTGAGTAAATGAATGAACAGCTTTGCAAAGGCTCTGTTCTGTTCTGGTTTCCCCACCTGCCTATCAAGAGGGCTGGATGGCGGGGCATGGTGGCTCACGCCTATAATCTTGGCACCAGCCTGACCAACATGGAGAAATCCCGTCTCTAATAAAAATACAAAAAAAAAAAAAAATAGCTAGCCGTGGTGGCACGTCCCTGTAATCTCAGCTACTTGGGAGGCTGACACAAGAGAATCACTTGAACCAAAAAGGCGGAGGTTGCAGTAAGCCAAGATCGAGCCATTGTACTCCAGCCTGGGCAACAAGAGCAAAACTCCATCTCAAAAAAAAAAAAAAAAAAAAAAAAATTAGCTGGGAGTCGCACGTGTCTGCAATCTGAGCTACTCAGGAGGCTGAGGCAGGAGAATTGCTTGAACCTGAGAGGCAGAAGTTTCAGTGAGCCGAATCAAGCCATTGCACTCCAGCCTGGGCGACAGGGACTCTGTCTCAAAAAAAAAAAAAGAGGGCTGGATGACATGCTTCTGACATGTTTACTTGTCATAGGGATCAAACAACAGATTCTGGAGCTGGACTGCCTGGGCTCATTCTCAATTCTAGCTGTGTAATCTCGAGCAAGTCAAGTTCTCTGTGTGCCTCAATTTACTATCTGGAAATGGAGATTAATAACAGCACCCCCCTGCCTTATAGGGTTGGTGCCAACATTAAATGAAATATACATGAAATCGGCTGGGCGTGATGGCTCACGCCTGTAATCCCAACACTTTGGGAGGCCGAGGCGGGTGGATCACCTGAGGTCAGGAGTTCAAGACCAACCTGGCCAACATGGCGAAACCCTGTCTCTACTAAGAATACAAAAATTAGCAGGGTGTGGTGGCAGTCCTATAATCCCAACTACTCAGAAGCTCAGGAGGCTGAGGCAGGAGAATTGCTTAAATTCAGGAGGCGGAGGTTGCAGTGAGCAGAGATCACGCCACTGCACTCCAGACTGGATGACAGAGTGGGACTGTCTCAAAAAAAAAGAAACATACATGAAATACTAAGAACAGTACCAGGCACAAAGGAAGCACTAGGTACATGTTTGCTGTTCTTGCTATACTGAAAGCTAAAGTCTGAGGACAGAGTTTACAAATCAGCACCCTGTGGACCACCACCAGCTTGCAGACAGACATGTTTTGCTTGGCTCACACAGTGTGTTTTTTTAAAAATGGAAGAAGTTGCCAACTTTTAAAACTGAAGAGAGTTCTTATATCCCTGTTTCCAGATCCCCTTGAAAACTTGGAAGATATGGCCACACTCAGCCCATGTTCTTGCATAGCGACTATCAGCTCGAATCAGTCATGGCTTCTCCCCTTGGAAAGGTCATAGGGTCTCTCTTTTTTTTGGTAGACACCAAGTCTTGCTATGTTGCCCATGCTCGAACTCCTGGGCTCAAGCGATCCTCTTGCCTTGGTCTCCCAAAGTGCTGTGATGACAGGCATGAGCCATCACCCGCAATGTCATGGGGTCTCTTGCTTGCTAGTCCCTATCCAGCCAACTTGGCATCCATGTTACCTGCCTGTCCCTTTGCAAACATTTGAGTTGATGACCCTATTCTAGGAATGAATAAATTTGGAGTCTGGAACCAGACTGTTTAGGCTCAAATCCTGCCACTTATTTGCTGTGCGACTTGGGCAGGTGTCTTAATATCTCTGATCCTCAGTTTCCTCATCTGTAAAATGGTCAGAGTATCAGTACCCACTTCATAGGATAACAGATGATGTACATAAAAGTACTGAGTCCAGTGCCTGGTGCTTAGTGACAGCTGGATACAATTTGTTTGTTTGTTTTTTTAGAGACAGGGTCTCGCTATGTTGCCCAGGCTGGAGTGCAGTGGCTATTCACAGGCGCGATCCCACTATTGATCAGCACGGGAGTTTTGACCTGTTCTGTTTCCAACTTGGGCCGGTTCACCCCTCCTTAGGCAACCTGGTGCCCCCCTGTTCCCAGGAGGTCACCATATTGATGCCGAACTTAGTTTGGACACCCAATCGGCATAGCCCACTACAGGGCAGAACTCCTGGGCTCGTGATCCTCCCACCTCAGCCTCCCGAGTAGCTGGGACTACAGGCACCCGCCACTGCGCCTGGCACAATTTGTATAATATTATTCTAACGCAGGCCACCTGAGTTTCGGAATCCCGCTGTCTCCCTATCCTTGGTTCATGTAGGGTCTGTTCGATTGCTCTGGGCCTGAAGGAAGGAGAAGGTAGGTGCAGAGGCTGGTGGGTGGAGGTAGGAAAACAGGGCTGAGTATTTTGGGAAATTGGGCCATGGCAGGTGTCAAGAGGTGTTTTCCACAGACAGGGATCTGGGCCAGGCTTAGTCCTGGTTTCTCCCAGAACCCGGCCCAGCCTTGGTCTCTCCTGCTAGGAATGTGGCCAGTCTTGCTCCCAGAACCTAAACCTCCAGCCCCTTACTCCTGCGGAGAATGCCTGAGCCCTTAAGCTGTCACCCCAGCAACCGGCACATCCTGCTGCAGCCAGATTGTCTCCTTGGGAACAGGCTGGACCAGGGGATTGACCTTCCTCAGCTTAGGTGGTTGCTCCCTTCCCTCTGCAGGCTGTGCAGATGCAGGGAAGCCAACGCCCTGTCCCCAGGTGATGCCCCCATCAGGAAAGGTAAGCTAGTCTGTGGATTCTGGGACCCCATGTAGAAGACCATAGGCCTATGATGACCCTTACGGTTAAGAGAGTTTCACTGCCATCATTCAAATACACAGGCTGTGGCACAGATAGGGCAGGGACTAGCCCAGATCCCTTAGCACCATGGTCCCCACCCCAGCTGCCTCTGATCCACCCCTACAGGAGTGCAATCCTCAAAGTACCTCCTGCAGCCACTTTCTCCTTTTTCCTGGGGTGATAGTGGGGAAACCCCAGACTAACAGAGCAACAACCCTAGGTGCCAGTTCATTCGTCAGCTTCCATCTGTAGTGCCCTTGGCAGGGCTCCTGCCCAGAGGCGAGACCTTTTCTTTCCACACCTATCCAATTAGCAGGCTAGTCTGAGCCATCCCTGGTGCATGGCCTGCTCTGACATGCTTGGCTCACCCTGGGGCGGGTACTTGGCGGGCTACAGAGGGCGCACCCTCCATGATCTCACAGTTTCCCACTGGCCTGCAAGGGGAGTGGAAGCCTGTCCAGGGTCACACAGCTGTCCATAAGCAGGGAGGAGCCAGGACTGTGTCTGCTGATCCTTACCCTGGGATCTTTCTCCTACCCACTTCCTGTGAGGCCACCACTGGGACAGACCGTTAGCTGACACTGTTCTCCCGCACCTGCGGTTTTTCAACTTGAGAATCACTTATCAGTTTTTTTTTTTGTTTTTTTTTTTTTAAATCAGCCTCTTTCCTCAGCGGCTGCCTCCCGGGCATCATATTTTTCAAAGTTTTCCTGGTTGACATTAGCATCCCTTGGGCCTGCTGGAGAGTGGCCACCTTCCCTGGGACGGGCCCACCTTCAGCTGGGTGACCCTTCCACCTAGCTGATCTGTCCCGAGCCCCCCGACGATTGATGCAGCCCCCCACCCAGCTGACTTGCCTTTGAAGCTGGCACTGGGACTTAGGAAACACTTCTGCCAGGAACAGGCTCTGTCTGGACCACTCTGCCTCATCGTTGCAGTCAACCCCACTGGTGATTTTTTCACCCCACTCCCCCCATGAAACCTTTGGGACCTTTGTGTCCTCCGATGACCCCATCTCCTGGGGTCCCCTGTACACAGACATCCGTAAGAAGAGACTTGCTCAGTCCCTTGGGACCTTGTTCCTTTCCCCTTGACCCCCGAAAGCCCATTTCTCCCTCTCCTCTGCCCTGTCTCCCTTAGGATCTATTTATTTCAGCCCGCGACTTGTGCCCCCCACCTGCTCGCCCCACCCTGTGTGGCCCCTCCCCGCCCCTCACCATGGCGAAGCCCGAGAGCAGGGCAGACGTGCGGCTGGAGGCTTTGAGCTTGGCCCGGCTGAGGTAGAGACGGCGCCAGCTGAGCGCCCGCAGCGAGTGCTGACTGGCCCCCATGAGGTCCAGGTAACCGCGGTGCACGAACTCCCGGTACGTGGCCGAGCCCGCAGGACTCTCGGCCTCCGGGTTCAGCGGGGCCTGCTCGCCTGCGTCCCCCTCGCCGCCCTTCATCCTGGGGACGGTGGCACCAGGCGGGCCGGGCTGTCACTGCGGGGTCGAGGCGCCTCGGGGGCCCCAGTGGGGCCGGCCCAAGCCCGGGGGCGGCCCCATCCCCCAGCAGGGCGAGCAGGATGCAGGAGGAGGGCGCCCAGGAAGAGGCGGCCCCAGCGGAGCAGGAAGAGAAGCGTCTGCGGGGAGTCCCAGGGGCCGGAGCAGGACAGCGGAGGCCGAAACAGGAACTAGAGCAGAGGCGGAGCCGGGCCGGCCACATGATAGGGTGGAGCCGGGGACCGAGCCCCCGTAGTCCCCGGCCGGCAGAGATTCCCGCGACCCCCATCCACCAAGAACACCAATCACCCAAGAGCCCAGACCCCACCGAGCCGCCCACCAGCCCCAGCCCACTCCAAGGTACACCTGGTCACCCCAGGTGTCCACTTCCAAATCCCTCCCAAAATGAACCCGGGAGAGGTGAGCCCACTCATCTGCAGGAAACGCAGGGGCCCCTCCCTGCCCTGACCCCCACACCCCGACGTCGCAGACACGCACACGAACTCAGCGGCCCCGGCTGGAAGATTTTGAGTTTTATAGCAAACCGTATTGTACAGATTTGGGGCCCAGGGGCCCAGCCCGGCTGGGTCCCCCGCTTGCCTCTCGCCGGGCTGCCTCCTCCCTCCCCCAAGCGGCCCCATCCTCAAGCCTCTCGCGATCCCCAGGCCCCTCCCCTCCGGCCTTTGGTCCGCCCCGCCCCCCCCCCCACCCGCGCACCTCCCTGTTACCTGAGGTATGTGGATAGATCCCCCCCCTCCCCTACTTGGTAAGCCCCGGCCCCCAACCCGAGCCCTGTGCGGAGGGGCGGGACCTGGCCCGGCTCCTCCCCCGGATTCCGAAGTCCCACCCCGTGCTGGAGGAAAGGGCGGGGGAGAAGGCCCAGGAGAGTCTGTTACTAGATTCCCATGGCAACTAAGAGGGGCCATTTCCAGCCTTAGCACTGGCTTCGGGAGGTGTCCGTTGGCTGCTATTTCCATGGCAACCAGGAGTGGCAGTTCCCTGGACAAATGGGATACAAGTTTCCATGACGATGAAAGAGTGGGAAGAGCCAAGCTGGAGGAGTCCCATCGTCCCCATCCTTGGGCTGGCGCCCCCGCCTTAATGGGGGTCCGGCGGGTGCCGCCACTCAATACAGTAAAACAAGAGCGAGCCTGGGGATGGCGCAGTCCCAGCAGGCGCCCACCGGCCCGGTCTCAGGTCTCAGTCCAAGCTGGTCCAGTCCCCTTACACTCCGGCTCCCCCAGGTCCGAGGTTCCCCCGGTTCAAGTAACACTTCAGTACAGATGAATGTTCAAGTATTGTGCGGAGAGGCAGGCAGGGGGTTGGGGCGCCCCTCGCCACTCCCCTGGGCCACGAGCTGAAGAGCGGCTGCCCGCGGCCCCCACTCCTTGCAATAGCTGCCGTTTTCAGTGACGTTCAAGGAAGTCAGGGTCAAGGGGAAGGAACTGAAGCCTAGGGAGGGGGAAAGGAGAGAGGTGACCCCCAAGGGGGTACTGCTGTCCCCACACCTGCTCTCGTCCCCAACTCCCACTCAGCCCCGGCTTGCCCCTGGCTCCCCTACCTCTGACACCTGGATCCCCAATTGCTCCTCTGGTTTCCCTTTGTGGCCCCCCCCCCCCACCCCCCATCCCCGTAACTGGTCTTTGTTCCCCGAACCCCTGGTGGTCTGCTGCCTGCCCCCCCCCCCCCCCGCCCCTTCCACCTCCCCCAGCCCCTGGCTCCCATATCCTGTGTGCGTCCTTTCCCCATTCTCCCCCACTGACACTTGCACCATAACCCCCCCTCCCACCATCCCTTCGGCTCAGCACCCTCCAGTACCTCTGACCCACTCCCCCCAGGGGATGGACAATGAAGCAGGTAGCAGGGGGAGGACATGGGAAGGAGAAACCCCCAGAGATATCAGTGCAGGGGGGCGGAGAAGGGGGTGGCTGGCTTGAGTCCCTGGGCGGGAATCACTCAGGAATCCCGGGGGGTCATGAGGTGGGAACCTGGCCTCCCAGCGGAGGGTGAAATGAAGACGGAGGTCCAGGCTCCGGCCAAGTCCGGGGGAGGGTGGGGGGCGCCCAACTAGCTGTCCTTGAGAAGCAGCTTCTCCTCAGGGCAGCGGAAAGGGCCAGGGGGCCCGGCGGCCGCCAGCCGGGCACAAGCTTCCGGTGAGAGCTGGCGGCAGGAGCGCAAGTCTAGGCGGCGTAGACGTGGACAGCGGCGGAACAGCGGGAGGCAGTGGTCCGTTAGGCGGTGGCAACCTGGGGAAAGGGTGGTGGCAGCTGAGACCAGGCAGGTGAGCAAGGGGTGAGCACTGGTCGTGGGGACCCACAGGCCAGCAGGACAGACGGGGGATCATGCTTACCAGCAAGATTGAGGTGCACCAGGGTCTCGCGGAGTGGGGATGTGGGGGCCGTGAGGAGGTGAACACTGGGGTCCCCGACGTGGGCGCAGTGGCTCAGATCCAGGGCGCTCAGCTGCGGTGCGTGGCGCAGCAGGAGCCGCAGGGAGGCATCTGTCAGCTCCAGGCCTGCCAGGCGCAGTTCTGCCACCCCCTGTAGCCGCCCACGGCTCTCTGTTTGCCCTAGGCAGGCAGATGAAAGTTGAGCACCCCTGGTCATTCCCATCCCTGCGCCCAGGTATCCAGACCATCTCCCCTCCACCTGCTCCCTACATAAGTGAGTGACCTGCTGCACTCTGTGACTTGCTCTTCTCCAAAACACCCTTATGACCTGACCTCATCTGTCCACTGCTCATATCACCTCCTCAGGGAGGCCTTCCATGATTGTTGTATTTGAAACTACAACATTCGGCCAGGCATAGCTCACCCCTGTAATCCTAGCACTTTGGAAAGCCCAGGCGGGCAGATCACTTGAGGTCAGGAGTTCAAGACTATCCAGGCCTAACATGGCAAAACCTTGTCTCTGCTAAATATACAAAAATTAGCCGGATGTGGTGGCGGGTGCCTGTAGTCCCAGCTCCTCAGGAGGCTGAGGCAGGAGAATCCCCTGAACCTGGGAGATGGAGGCTGCTGTGAGCTAGGATTGCACCACTGCACTCCAGCCTGGGCAACAGAGTGAGAATCCATCTCAAAAAAAAAAAAAAAAAAGAGGGCTGGCCAGACACAGTGGCTCATGCTTGTAATCCCAGCACTTTGGGGGGCCGAGGTGAGCAGATCAAAAGGTCAGGAGTTCAAGACCAGCCTGGCCAACATGGTAAAACGCTGTCTCTACTAAAAATACAAAAACACAGAAAAAAAAATTAGCCAGGCATGGTGGCTGGCGCCCGTAGTCCCAGCTACTTGGGAGGCTAAGGCAGAAGAATCGCTTGAATCTGGGAGGCGGAGGTTGCAGTGAGATGAGATCGTGCTGTTGCACTGCAGTCCAGGCAACAGAGTGAGACTCCATCTCAAAAAAAAAAAAAAAAAAAAAAAGAGAAAAAGAGGGCTGGGCACGGTGGCTCACACCTGTAATCCCAGCACTTTGGGAGACCAAGGCAGGAGGATCAGGAGGGCAGGAGTTCAAGACCAGCCTGGCCAACATGGTGAAACCCCGTTGCTACTAAAAATACAAAATTAACTGGGTGTGGTAAGGCGCATGCCTATCATAATGCCAGCTACTCAGGAGGCTAAGGCAGGAAAATCACTTGAACCCAGAAGGCAGAGGTTGCAGTGAGCCGAGATCGTGCCACTGCACTCCAGCCTGGCAACACAGGGACACTCCATGTCAAGAAAAAAAAAAAAAAAAGAGTGGGGACCTCCCCTCCTCTCTTGCTAGCTGTCTCATCATGTGACATGCTGACTCCTGCTTCACTTCCAGCAAGAGTAAAAGCTCCCTGAGGCCTCCCCAGAAGCTGAGCAGATGCAGGCACCACACTTCCTCTACAGCCTGCAGAACTCTGAGCCAATTCAACCTCTTTTCTTTATAAATTACCAAACCTCAGGTATTTCTTTATAGCAATGTAAAAACTAATGTAATTCAACACACTACCACTTCCTTGCATCTTTTCCTCTTTTCTCACCATCTGACATATTATTATATGCATTTGTCTGACATATATATGTTTTCCTTATTTCCCCACCCCCCACCCCCCGACAGAATCTTGCTCTGTCACCCAGGCTGGAATGCCATGATGCAATCTCGGCTCACTGCAACCTCTGCCTCCTGGGTTCAAGCAATTCTCCTGCCTCAGCCTCCCGAGTAGCTAGGATTACAGGTGCACACCACCATGCCCGGCTAATTTTTGTATTTTTAGTAGAGACAGGGTTTCACCATGTTGGCCAGGCTGGTCTTAAACTCCTAACCTCGTGATCCACCCACCTCAGCCTCCCAAAGTACTGGGATTACAGGCGTGAGCCACCGCATCCAGCCATATATATGTTTTTCTTATTAATCTTTCTCTCCAGCCACAAAACTGTCAGTACTACAAAGGCAGGAATTTTTGTCTGTGTTCATTGCTGCAGTCCCAGCAACTGAGACACAGTAGGTATTCAGTTTATTTTTGTTCATTCATTCATCAGATACATGACATCCCTGAAGGGTCTACCATCCAGGTCCCTCTCCCACTTCCCTCCCCTCCATGGTCAGTAAGTCCCCACCAGAAGCCTCTCTTTTCTCCCTGGTTACCACTTGGGGTCAACACCACTCATGCCTGAACTGCTGGTCCAGCCTCCTCACCTGCCCCACTTCTCTGCTCTTCTTCCTGGCATATAGAATGGTGATCTCAAATACAAATGGGACAGCATCCCTCCTCTGCTAAAAACTCTCTCAGGGCGCCTCAAAGAGGTCTAGCCTTCTTGGTAGAACATCCCAGTTCCTATAAGACCTCAGCTGGTAACTCCTCTCCCTCACCCCTAAATACAGGGGCCACATTCCACAAGCGGCCCTGCCCAAGAGACTCTGCCTACCCTGTGTCCCCCATCCCTGGTTTTCAGGTCTGAGCTCAGAGGCTCCCTGCTCCCCCATCGGCAGGATTAAAGTGCTCACACCCCTCATCTTGGCATCCAAAGAATATGGTCTACATTTCTTTTGTGCCAATGGCTCTCAAACTAGAGAGGCTTCAAAGTCCCTGGAAGGGCTGGTTAAAAGGGACTGCTGGTCCCATCCCCAGAGTTTAGGCAGGTCTACAGGTTTGTTTGTTTTTGAGATAGGGTCTTGCTCTGTCACCCAGGCTGGAGTGCAGTGGTGCAATCATAGCTCACTACAGCCTTGACATCCCTGTAGCTCACTGCAGCCTTGATCCTCCTGCCTCGCCCTCCCAAACCCTCGCCCTGAGGTCTGGGGTTACAGACCTGAGCCACTGCACCTGACCAGAGTTTACTTTTTTTTTTTTTTTTGGGATGGAGTGTTGCTCTGTCACTCAGGCTGGAGTGCAGTGGTGCAATCTCGGCTCACTGCAACTTCTACCTCCTAGGTTCAAGTGATTCTCCTGCTTCAGCCTCCCAAACAGCTGGGATTATAGGCATGCGCCACCATGCTCTACTAATTTTTTTTTTTTGTATTTTTTTTTAGTAGAGACAGAGTTCCACCATGTTGGCCAGGCTGGTCTCGAACTCCTGCCCTCAAGTGATCCGCCCACCTTGGCCTCCCAAAGTGCTGGGATTACAGGCGTGACCCACTGCACCCGGCCCAGAATTCACTTTTTTAACACGTTCTCCAGTTTTGTGGATGCTGCTGGTCCCCAGAACCACAGCCTTGGGAGACAAGATCTCTGATCATCATTCCTGTTTACAGCCAGGAAACCCGGGCCTGGTGACACTGAGTCCGAACTCTTACCACAGTGCTGTCTGCCTCCCAGGCACCAGCCTAGCCCTGAGATAAACTATTAATAGATCAGATGGCAAAAACCATGAGGCTACCCTCAAACATGTTTTATGGAGTCTGCAGAATGCTAAAAATGTCCTTAATGACTAATAATACAAATAAGACATTTTTATAAATAAATTTATATACTGAGCTTTGCCTTGAAAAATCCTAAGATCTGGCCTCACTAGGCACTCCTTCCCACCAGATGATGAGTGGGTGGAGCTGGGTGGCTAGGTGCCACTCCCTAATGTCCTGCACCAATGCATCACTTCTGTTACCTCCCAGGCCACCTCTATGGGCACTTGACTTTGCAAGCCCTAAATCTTAATCCCTCCTCCTGTCTTTGAGGAGCCAAGGGCCTGGAGAGGGGATAGCTTTACAGATGCCCTCAACCTTGGGCCACAGCTAAAGGCCCAAGGAGGAAAGGCCCAAGGAAGAAAGCAGAGGAAAGAGAAGTCACTTCTGGCTTGTGTAGGGAGGAGTGGGCATCAGTGAGGATTTCAATGAGGTGGTGCCATTTAAGCCTGGCCTTTAAGAGTTTGAAGGTGTACATCACTATTCACAATAGCAAAAGCGGTGGAATCAACCTAAATGGCCATCAATGCCAGAATGAATAAAGAAAATGTGGTACTTGTACACCATGGAATACTATGCAGCCATAAAAAAGAATAAGATCATGTCCTTTACAGCGACATGGATGGAGCTGGAGGCCATAACTTTAGCAAACTAATGCAGGAACAGAAAACCAAATACTGCATGTTCTCACTTAGAGGTGGGAGCTAAATGATGAAAACACATGAACACATAGATGGTAACAACATACCCTGGGGCCCTTCAGAGGAAGGTGAGAGGAGGGAGAGAATCAGGAGAAATAACCAATGGGTAACAGGCTTAATACCTGGGTGACCAAATAATCTGTACAATAAACCTCCATGACACAAGTTTATCCATACAACAAATCTGCACATACACCCCTGAACTTAAAAGTTAGAAAAATAGCCAGGTGCGGTGGCTCACACCTGTAATCCTAGCACTTTGGGAGGCTAAGGTGGGTGGATCACTTGAGGTCTGGAGTTTGAGACCAGCCTAGCCAACATGGTGAAATCCCGTCTTTACTAAAACTACAAAAATCAGCCAGACATGGTAGCAGGCACCTGTAATTCCCAGCTACTCAGGAGCCTGAAACAGGAGAATCGCTTGATCCAGGAGGCAGAGGTTGCAGTGAGCCAAGATGGTGCCACTGCACTCCAGCTTGGGCAACAGAGCAAGACTGTCTCAAAAAAAAAAAGCCCTTATGAGTTCCTGATAAAGAGCTGAACTGCACTGAATTCCGGCAGGAGGAGATGGGCCAGCCAGCACTTTCCCACCTCCTGGGATGCACCAATCCCAATGCCCACCTCACTCCCCACCCATAGCTCTCCAGCTCAGTCCAGTTCCAGTAAGGGTGGACAATGGCTGAGTGCTCTGGCCTGACTGGGTGACCTGCAGCAGTCACTCCAACCTCTGGGCCTCCAGTGCCTCATCTACAATACAGGAAGAATCCTGTTGCTTCTCTCTTCTCTACTCTCCTTCCAGGGCTGCTGTGGAGCGGGTAGGGTGGAAGGAAGGGAACTAAGAAAGACAGTGGTGAACGAACTCCAAAAAAAAAAAAAGATTATTTTGGCTGGGCACAGTGGCTCATCCCTATAATCCCAATACTTTGGAAGGCAGAGGTGAGTAGATCACTTGAGACCAGGAGTTCGAGATCAACCTGGACAACTTGATGAAACTCTGTTTCTACAATAATTACAAAAAAATTACCCAAGCATGGTGGCACATGCCTGTAGTCTTCGACACTCAGGAGGCTGAGGTAGGAGGATCACTTGAACCCAGGAGGCATAAATTGCCATGAGCCAAGATCATGCCACTGTACTCCAAATCTCCTTTTGGAAATCTTTCCTCAAACTAGACCTCTCCTATCCTGATTGCCTGCTCATTCAAGTTATTCATTCAATAGCTATCAGCTGAGCAGCCACTGAGAAGGTGCTCGGGGAGCAGCCAACGCCTGCCCTCAGGGAGACCCTGAGAGGAGGGCACAGATGTGCATCAAGGTGCTCTACAATTGCTCAGTAGTATGCTGGCGGGCTGCTCTCAAAGCTGAAAGGTACTCTGAGCTCAGTGTGGGGTTGGATGAGGGAGAGCTTCTTGGAGGAAGTGGCATTTATACCCAGGTCTGAAGGATGATGAGATTCAAGTAGATGAAGAGAGATGGCCTCTGCTCCCAGCATCCCCCTCTGCCCATATGGGCCTCCTGCTCCACCAAACTGCTGGGTCTCAGGCTCCCTGGGAAAACCCTGTCCCTTTCAAGGCGGCTCAGTTCAAAGCACACAACAGGTGGGTGAATGAATGAATAATGCCCAACCAGGGCCCTCCTATTCAAACTCATGCATTCTTTCCTTTCTTCAAATACTTTACCATCCAGCATGAGTCAGAAGAAACCTGAGAGGCTTCCTAACCTGTCCTTGCACAGCCTATTCTCCAGAAAAGCAAACAGAAGCTGCACCTGGTTTGGTGTCTGGTGGAGGCAGCAGCAGCTCCCGGAGCTGGGAGTCTTTAACATCCTCGATCCAGCGGAGGTCCAGGAGCCGCAAGGCTGGCAGTGGGGCTGAGCCCAGGGCAGAGACGGAGAGCCAGGAGCAGCCAGAGAGCACCAGCTCCTGCAGGCCTGCAGGGAGAGGGGGCAGTCAGGGGCAGGTGCTGTAAGGACTCCATTTGAGGCCTGTCCCCACCCTGTCCTCCGCACCATCCACCCTACCTTGTAGTCGGTTCAGAAGCCACATGAGCTGCTTCTTGGAGACACCTGTCCAGCTGAGGTCCAGGGCACGGGGCTGGCGGCGAACCACACCGCTAAGCATGGGCGGGGTCAGTGACTTCCGCCGGCTCAGGTCCATTCGAGGCCACAGACGCTTGTCATAGCACCTGCCGGCCACAGTGGGGAGACAGAGACCTCAGCCCTCAGCTCTCAGCGGCCCACGCTTCCCAGGCTCCCCAGCTCACGGGTGCACCCCAGCTTTCTCCTGGCCACACAGACAGCAAGGTGGTAAGAAGCACCTGGACTTGGCCAAGAGCACCGGGATTGGGACCCAACTCCATCACTTGCTGGAAGTGAAACCCTGGGCAGGCCCCTTCCTCTCCCTGAGCCTCACAAGCCTCGTTTATGATTAAAGACAGTGGTCTTCACTCTGCCTGCCCACAGGACAGCTATCAGGTCACACGGGCTCATTCCAGCTTGTGGGCCTTCCAGCATGGAAAGCATACTGCCCAACACATACACAAATGCCACGCATGCTGTCTGATGTCATGCCAAGGGGACTAGCGTCACCCTCTGATGCACACCTGCCCCATCCTGACAGCCAGCTGCCTGCAATACCCAATATCTTCCCTTTTACATTACCGTGTTCCTCCAACTAGAATGTAAATTCCACAAGGGCAGATTTGTCTTTTCCACATTTTGAAAAAAAAATTTTTTTTGAGACAGGGTCTCACTCTGTCACCCAGGCTGGACATGATCACAGCTCACTGTAGCCTCAACCTCCTAGGCTCAAGCAATCCTCCCAGCTCAGCCTCCTGAGTAGCTGGGACCACAGGCACATGTCACCATGCCTGGCTAATTTTTAAACTTTTTTTGTAGAGACAGGGTCTCGCTATGTCATCCAGGCTGGTCTTGAACTCCTGGCCTCAAGGGATCCTCCTGTCTTGGCCTCCCAAAACACTGGGATTACAGGCATGAGCTACTGCACCTAGCCACTCATTCGTTGAATGAATGAATCAAGCTACTAATGACTTAAAAGATTCCACTGACTACTCTCCCACACCTCAACTACAGCATTTCATTTATTCACTCTGATTATGGAAGGCCTTATAGGTCCCAAGTATTGAAGTTACAAAGATGACAGTGGCCTGAACATTAAACAGGTTTCCTGATCTGACCCCAGCACTCCAAGGGCCTTGACAGACTACCTAACATGCAGTGAACTGGAGAAGGGCATCTCAAACTTACCTCCCCAGGAACCCTTCCCCACCTCGCCCAAGGCAATCTATTAACACTTTGTAGTGCATCGAAGTTCCTTTGGACTTAGTTTGAGAACTCTCTTCTTGTTCAGTAGTTCTCAAAGGCATGTCTGGAAATACCTCTGAGAGTCAATAGGCTGTGTTAGAAGCAGCAGAGAGGAGCAAGCCCAGGAAGCTTTTTGTTTTGTTTTGTTTTTTGAGACAGGGTCTTGCTCAGTCGCCCAGGCTGGGGTGCAGTGGTACGATCATAGCTCACTGTAGCCTCAACCTCCTGGGCTCAAGTCGTCCTCTCACCTCAGCCTCCCGAGTAGCTGGGACTACAGGCGCATGTCCCCACACCTGGCTATTTATTTATTTTTAGTAGAAACAAGATCTCGCTATGTTGCCTAGCCTGGTCTTGAACTCCTGAACTCAAGCGATCCTTCCCTTGGCCTCCCAAGGGAAGCTGCTTTTGCCTCCCTCCCAGCCCTCAGGACTCTGAAAGCCTTTCCTTTGCAGAAGCCCTGGGCTGGTGCAATGATTCCCAAGCTCTAGTATTTGCTGTTCACTTATCTGCACAACATGAATTTGTCTTTGAAATCATCTCTTTGCACTCAAAACCACTGTTGTTTCACATAAATATGTTAATCTTAAAAATAAACACAATAAAACAGACCAGAGTTATTAAATCCTCGCCAGGTGTTGCTGTGGCTTTAGGCTACTATCTGAAGACTACTTCTGTTAAACAGAGAGATAAGCAAGTATCAGAGAAGCATTAGAAAAAGCACCCAATGGAGAGACTTCCTTTCCAAAACTCACAGAGGGATTAAGCCATGTTTTTGTGTCACTGAAAACTGCCAGGCCTACTCCAGAGGCAAAATGAGTCATTTTGTTATTTTTTTGAGACAGGGTCTCACTCTGTCACCCGGGCTGGAGGGCAGTGGTGTAATCATAGCTCACTGAGGCCTCACACTCCTGGGCTCAAGTGATTCTCCTGCCTCAGCCTCCCATGTATCTGAGACCACAGGTATGCTTAGCTCTTCTTTTTTTTTTTTTTTTTTTTTTTTTTTAATAGAGATGGGGGACTCACTATGTTGCCCAAGCTGGTCTTGAACTCCTGGGCTCAAGGATTTCTCCTGCCTCAGCCTCCCAAAGTGCAGGGATTACAGGCATAAGCCACTAAGCCCAGCCCTGGTGTGACATTTAAGAGAAGGCTGAGGGGACAGACATCAAGGCTTCAGTCTCAACTTCACCCTCTGCCACCCGCCCTCCTGTTCCCTCCCACCCTCGCCCTGCTTTTCTGGCATTCTAGCCTCTCCCTCTCCTGATTTCTTCCTCTCAACTAATAAACATCTGCAATCTCTCCAATTCAAAACATGAAAAGGAAAAAAAACAGCTAACACCCAACCCAGCTTCTACCCCTAGGTCCAGCCTCTGTGCTCTTTCATTGAGCAAGAAAATTGGTGACATCTGCTCCATCCAAACCTCTTTCTGCCCACTGTGACCCAGCCACAACTACCTCCTAGCTTAACTGTCACCACTTCCTTGAAGCCACTTCCCTTCCACAGTTCACACAGCTGGAAGGGAGCCCCTTCCCCTGGGGGCACACACAGGCTCCAACTGTGTTTCCGTATCATACTTCACAAGAGCCAGGCCACACCGCTGCCCACCAACAAACACAGTGTTGTCTGATGCCGACACATTGTGGCACATGCTGTGCCTCTGCCAGAAATGCCAACCTAGATCCTTTGCAGCTCAGTTCTGGTGCCTCCTCCCACACCCTTCCTTGGCTAGAGCTCATGAGTCCCCCTGCTCTTGTACAACACCTGGACTCGGGTTAAACCTCAGAGGGGCAACCAACAGTCACTGAAGACCCTACTGATCTGAAACGTCTGGCTACCACTAGGCACAGAGAAGGCAAAGATGACAGGTGTCTGCTATACAGTCAGAGAGACATGGACAGTGCGCAGTAACTGAGGAGACAAGGGGCATGGTAAGAGTCACCTCAAGGACTGGCTGGGAGGGCCTCCAGGGGAGACAGTGCCTGACTTAAGACTCCGAGGAAAGCAGCAGTTATTCCAGCAAGAGGAGGGGGAGGAGGGTGTGTGTTCCAGATGGTGAAGAACCCGTGTCCAGGCCCAGGAGAGACAAAACAGAGCTTTGGGAACCCCAGGCCACAGGAACTCATCATCATAACCAGAGTCACGCTGATCACGGTGACCTCAGCACTACTAGCCAGCTATTATCCAGGGTTCACGGTGCGCCAGGCACTGTTCCATGCATTAAGCACTGAACCTCAGGCAGCCCAGGAGGTCAATATTACTACCATCATCTCCTTTTTACAGTTAAAGAAAATGAAGCAGGTTAGGTGCGGTGGCTCACGCCTGTAATCCCAGCACTTTGGGAGGCTGAGGCAGGTGGATCAGGAGGTCAGGAGTTTGAGACCAGCCTGGCAAACATAGTGTAACCCTGTCTCTACTCAAAATACAATAATTAGCCAGGTGTGGTGGCATGCGCTTGCAGTCCCAGCTACTCGGGAAGCTGAGGTGGAAGATTACTTGAACCTGGGAGGCAGAGGTTGCAGTGTGCCAAGACTATACCATTGCACTCCAGCCTGGGTGACAGAGTGACACTCGGTCTCAAAAAAAAAAAAAAAAGAAAAAGAAAAAGAAAATGAGGCCCAGAGAGGTTGAGAAACGTATTCGAAGTCCCACAACTACCAAGTGGTAGGGAGCAGAAGCAGAGTTCCATCAAGCTAGCCTGGGTGGAAAGCCTGAATTCTGAGGAGAGAAGAGGCACAGGCGGGGCTGCTGAGGAGCCACGGGGTGGGGTGTCAGGTCAAGGAGGGCTGGAATACCAGTCCACAGAGCCCAGAGCTGAGGATGTGAGCTATGGGGATCTAAATCCCAGCTCTGCCACCCCAGGCTTTAGGGGACCTCAGGCAAGTCACTCGCCCTGTGTGGGCTTCAACTTCCCAAACAGGACAGTGGAGTGAAGGACAGTACTTCCTTCAGAGGTTGCTGTGACAAGGAAAGCACAGAGTTTAGGAAGGTGCTTGGCACAGTCATTGGTCCCGGTTCATGTCCAAATGTCTGACAAGACTGCGACGGCGGGGGGGGGCGGGCATCTGTAAGAGGGAGGTTGAGGATTGGAATTCAGGGTTTGCAGGTGGGCTTGGTGGGAAAGGACTCATTGCTGGGTGGCTGGAGTTCAGGAGTCGTCAATGGGTTAGGGGACTTGGGTGTCAAGCCCCACCTCTCTGAGACAATGGCATGCCTTGGCCCTTAGAGCTTTCCCTGCCTATTGCCTCAGTGTCATTCTCCAGCTTAGAAAGAACCCACCGGTGGCCCCCTGAAGCCGCCACCATCCTCCAATCTGTCCACCTCCAGGCCCTACCTGACCATGATGACCCTGTGTTCCAGTCCCTTCCTTGCTGCCCTCTCTCTGTCCAGATCCTCAAAAGCCCCAAACCTCTTCCCTGCAACTCAACAACTTCTCCACGCCTTCCCTGCCGCCCTCTCCACTCTTCACTCTTCCCTTCACTTCCTAGTTCTGAGAAGATGGAAGCCACAGACAGAAAAGCCCGCAGCCTCCTGCTCTCCGCTACACACGCCTCTCCAGCGCCCCCGTCTGTACATCCTTCCACACTGCATCCTGCTCCCCTCCACTTACTCAGCGAAGATGATATCACTGCCCACAGTTCACCAGGTGCCGTCCTAGACACCAGGGACACAGCAGGAACAAACAAATCAAGTCCCTGCCTGGGAAACCATTTCCTTGACTCTATTCAATCTGTCTTTGGACCTCCCACCCCCAGAGCACAGCCAAGGACCCCGAAGCATCCTGGTAGCAAAATCCAACCACCACTTCCTGGTCCTTGATCTCCTATGGCCTCTCGCCAGCATCCTCCTCTGCTTACCACATTCCCTCCTGCCTCGCTCTCTCCTGGGTGGGGGCACACCTCTGGCTAGGCTCTTGCTCTAACTCACAAGTACTGATGTCTGATCTTTTGCCTTCTTTGTCAAAGCTGCTACCTACAGGCTGAAAACTCCCGATCCTATATCTTTCTCTTGAGCATCAGACCAGCACGTACTGAGCACACCACACCCGTCAATCATCTGAGCTCTTTACCTTCCCAGAACCTGCTCCTCCTGAGCCTGGGGAATGATGCTGTTGCCCATCCAGGCTCCTGGGCCAGAAACTCACCTGAGAGTTACCCTCCTGTTCCACTGCCAGTTAGTCACCAAGTCTAAGCCATTCCACTTTTTTTTTTTTTTTTT